TGCAATTCAAGAGGAGCATCCACCACTCTCATTTCTCCAAGAATTTTTAGTCTTCTCCATCTTCCATACTCCTAATGTACCTCTGAACTATCTATACCTGTCCTTATCATATCCTTTTCTCATTTCATTTCTCTTTTCATATTTCTATCTCATTTCTCTATATTTTATTCTAACTCATTAGTACTTCATACAATCAATTAGTTATTGCCGAGAGTTAGTTCCCTCAGACTCAATCCACCATGTACATGCATATATTCAAAATAAAGATTACACTCATCATCAATCACCACAAAACATGCTTCACGCATAACAAGTCATATTCCAAAAATATCATAAACATATTATCATCCATCACATACTCAAATCAAGCATTTTCGTAAATACAAACACAAAAGTTCTTAGTAATAAGATAGAGCTCTCCTTACCTTAGAAAACTAGTCTTTGGTGATGAGAAAGTAAGAAAAAGATGGTTCATAGACCAAGGTAGTTCAACAATTCCATAGAGTCAAAGTTTTAGCTCGGATTCGGTGAAGTTGTGGAGTTTCTATGACTTTTATCTGTGATATGGGAAGAGAGTTCAAAGAAAAGGATAGAAGGACGTGAGTTGTAGAAGTGAAATGAATTTTCATGCTGGAAATCTCTTAAATACCCCTCAACCTCATGCTTGCTCGCTTGAGTGACGATATCTCGCTTGAGCGATAGGTCTCTTGCCTGAGCGAGATATGCAGACAATGGTTCTCTCAACATTTTTCTAGTATGCTCGCTTGAGCGAGCTCCATCTTGTCTGAGAGAGATAACGACCAAAGAGGGTGATGTTTCTCCTGTGATCCTCGCCTGAATGACACAACTCGCGTGGGCGAGATCTTCATCTTGCCTGAGGGAGATTACTCTCGCCTGAACAAGGTGACAATTGGACAAATTCTATCCTATCTCGCTTGAGCGAGATTGCTCTAAAATAGGATATTTCTAGGCGTTCAGTCTCACTTGAGCGAGATTCTCTGCATCAACCTCTTCTAATACTCTTCTTAATACACTCCTAACACATCTTAGTGCTATTTAATATCAAACAAAACATAATTTTCTAAATAATGAAAAGAGGGTGTTACAAATTTCACACCACATAAGCCAATACAATGTGCCAAAAGTCAGACACCTCTAGACTCAACCCAATCGTACGATCCTAATATTCTCAAAACAATTTTTTTCAGAGCTTTTGTTATAATTTATATTTAGATAGTTTTGAAAATAATTATGTCCAGCTTCCTATTCCTACACTTTAGATTTTAAGAAAATATTAGGGTTTTAGTAGAAAACTTTGTGTTTTCAAATCAAAATACCAAAGAGAAGTTAGGGCTTGGGATCACTCCCTTTACCTGGAAATGAGTCTCTCAGATCGAGTTTTTCTAGAGATCTAAGGGGGTGGCACAACATTCTGAGAGAGGATATCAGCTTAAAAGTTAAATTTTTCTTGAGTATTACAAAGCATACAACTTTAAATCGGATAAAATTGAGAAATAAGAATAAAGTTAGAGAATTAAGCTCCAAGAAACTTAGTTGAATCTGAATGGTTGAGCTTCTAGTCCCGGATTCGAAGAAAGATTGAGGTTTAGAAGAGGATTTCTAAGATGAGAGAGTGAGAGATCAGAGGAGAGATTGAGATTTTTGGATTGTGATTTAATTTTCTAGGTTAGAGACCCTCAAATACCCCTTAACTCGCGATATTTTCGCTACAAAGCTTCTCACTACAACGAGCTCTTCTCTTGTTGCAGCGAAAAAATTAAACAAAATTCTCCTTTACTGTTTGTCATTCTAACTACAGCGAGAACTCCTCGTTACAGCAAGAGCTTTCTCGGTACAGCGAGAGAATTCTAATTATAACGAGAAAGTGTCAGAGAGCCTTATTATGGACGCTCTTTCTAGCTACAAAGAGATACCTTGCACCAAAACTCCTATTTTTTCATACAAGAACTACAAAATTGAGGGTGTTACACTTTTATATAAGGACTAATTTGTAAATAAATATTAACTATAAGAATTAAATGTTTATTTTAACTAGAAATACTAAAAAAAAGAATCTGAACTTGTTTAGACAAAAGAATTGAGATACTAAATTAAAAAAAGTCATAAAATTTTAAAAGACTATTTATATTTTGCAGCAAACTATCTCGTGTAATTTCATATTCCAAAAGATTATAAATTTTTTACTTCTTATAAGGAAATATATATTTTTCAAATATTATATAAAAATTGATGTACAATAAAATATTAATGTCAATTATTCAGATTTTTTAAGATATGATAAAAGATTAAAAAAAATAACATAAAATAAGAAAATATTAATTGCAATTCTTAAGGTTAAGTTTAAGCAACTAACTATAGTAAAGTTTAATTAAAAGAGAATCATTAGTTAGAATAAATATTTAGTTTCATAAGTGATACTTATGTACAATTATTTAATAGTTAAAATTTAAATTTTAGTTTTTATACAAGTATTTCTTTTACAGTTTAATTCTTTTCGATAGAGAAAATCAAAGAAAACAAACAAAAGAAAATAAAGAAAATTACAAATTTTAAATATGAGACTCTTCTAGCATCCGTTTACAGAAATAATCTCAAATTCTAGCATCAGTTCACAAAAATAATCTCAAATTTATAAGAGGTAAAACCTAATCTTTAAAATCACAATCTCAAGAAACTTTCAACTTAGTTAAAATATTTGCACATGTATTACCTTTACACAAAATATGTCTAATGGCAATTTGATTCCTTTCTATCTAACATTGTTAAGATATTTTAAATGTAGATAATCTAAAATGTTTATTTACATAAAATTCAAATTATAATTCTTTCATGTAGCATCGAAATTTTTAAAAAAATGTTATTTAATTGATAGCTAATTTATTAATATTAACTTTGCGTTGTCAGGAATGAAAATATAGAAAAGTAATATAGTAATAAATTAAATTTGAATCTTAACGTGTGTTTCTATGCTTATTGATTTTGTGCTAAAAAAATTTTAAATAAATATTTATTCATATTTAATAAATTTTAAAAAAATTATTTCTAAGTTAATTTTTTCATTATATGTTTAATAAATTGTTTTAGATACAAAACTAATTATAGCATATAACTTCATTTTTTTATATTTAACTTAGAAAAGGTGATTATTTTATAAATTCAAATACAATAAATTACTTTAAAAATATTTTTTAATTGGAAATATCCAAATATAAAACTTATTATTTATTATTAATTATTATAATAAGAGATTATTGACATAATCGATCATTGAAATAATCTATGTTTTCAGCTAACCAAACACACATGATGTTTGAATCAGCTTATTTAAAAGAAGTAATTGTGTTTTTGGATTTTTTTTTAATGAATTTAAAAAATTAATTTTCCCAAGCATGCATCAAATTTGTTGTTTATTCTTACAGAATTGTTGAATAAACTGGTGGTTTTTTGTTTTCAAAATAAAAGTAAACGTACATAGAAAAATAAACAAGTGTATTGTTTTCAAAGTGAGAGAGAAATAGGCATTGTTTGTGCCATTTGAGCCACGTGTATGAGTTCATTTCTTTAGTTTCTTCTTCATCAATCACATCTTTCATGAACTCATGGCAGATACAAAGTACAAGAAAATACGATTTGTTAAACAGATCTATCCTTAACCATTTCAATTTTGGATTTCTCATATCCAAAATTTATTAATTATCTGCACTTATTTGAAGCTACTACATTGATCCACACATAACTTGGTTTGGAGTTTGGAATTTTGAAAGGTTAGTTTACTCTTTTTATTACGATTTTCTTTTCCTTCTGTTCATATGGATTAAATAGACTATCAACAAAGGTTAAACATAAAATTTGACGACGTGACGATTGATTCCGCTCTAATGAGTCAAATCTTATATGTTAATTAAAGAGATTTAATTGTATAAAATAAAAGGATAAGGATTCTTCACAAATTTTAAGTGCAAGAAAATATGTTTCTTTAGGAAAAATAGACAAATCTCTCAATAAAATTTTGTAATTAAGAGTGCATTAACATTCTTTTTTTAATTTTGAATTTCTCTTATCCAAAATTTATTCATTAATTACACACATTAGAGAACTAGTATTGATCCACATTAAAAGTGTTTTGGAGTGTGGCATTGTGAAAGGTCAGTTTTTTTTTTTTATGAATTCCTTTTCCATTTCTTTTGATGGATTAATAAAACTATCAACAAAAGTTAAATATAAAATTCGGTGATGAAAAAAAGTAGCATTTGAGATTGTTTATTGATTAGAGGAATTTATCTCTTATGAAATGCAAAACAGGGATGTATTATCCTTCTTTGAAGTTATACTACCTCAATAACTTATTTTAATTTAAATAAAAAATGACTTAATTGAAAGAATAACATAGTTAAAATATAATTTAGCTTAAATATATTTCAGTGCTGGTATATTTGTTAGTTTTAGGTTTTAGCTTTTTTTTTTATTCCTTTATTTTCACGAGTCTTACTAATGTGACTAATTGAAATGCTGCTATGTTTGAAGTGAAGTTTGAGAGAAATCAAAACTAAAAATCACAAAAATGTAGAGTTAAAATGAAACCAAAAAGTTAATTGAAATTAAAATTAAAAAAATTGTGAAAATACAGAGACTCAGAATATATTTAAGTCATATAAATTCTTTTATTAAAAAAAAACATGTCATTCATTTATAATTAAAAGAGGGTAAGAAAGAGGGGACCATCCCCTCATCACTGAATGTAGCTAAATTTAGAGTAATGATTTGCACACTCACATTGATGACTACTTTGCTTTTTTGTTTCAAGTGTTCAAATATTTTCATTTCAAAGATAACTTTTACTTGATCGACCACATATCCTTCACTGCTCAGTAATATCATTGAATGTCTTTCAAAATGTTTTGATATTTATTCTTTTTAATATAGGTTCTGGTTTTGATTCATTTGATAAACATTACCATAGGGACAAGATATCTTAAGCAATGAAGAAGGCTGTCTCGGTATGTATTATTGTGTAAGGGTTCCTTAATTGCTCACTCATATCCATTCCATGTTAATATTTGATTGTAATTTTTGCTAATTTTGTGTGTATAACACATATATTGAAACTTATTTATATCATTACATTTGCTACTTTTATTTATATGGAGTAATCTTTATGTCAAGAAATATATGGCTCTGCAGATGGGATCTATAGAAGGAAGATCTGTGATAGAACTTGACAATGTGAGCCTACTTAGTTCTTCTTCATTTCCCCAAAAAATATTATCTTGCAAAGAAGATTCATCCATTGATCATGATTATGGAAAGTTATTGCAAGATGTAATAAGAAGTAAGGTGTTTAGTAGCATAAAAGTTGTAGTTCTCTCCAACAAGATAAACTTGCTCATGCCTTTTGGCCCCATGGCAATTTTGGTAGATAAATTGTTTGACAGTCATGTAAGTTTCATCATTCTTCTCCTCATTTCATGTAGACTCTTCATTATTAATCATGCTTTTGACTCATGGATGATAGATAATCTTGTTGATTTAGTTGTCTTTTTTCAAATGTGTTTCAGGGTTTGGTCTTTCTTTTTAGCTTATTAGGCATTATACCTTTGGCAGAGCGTTTGGGCTATACAACTGAGTAAGTTACTTTTATTTCATTCATTAAGCAGTGAATCTTTAAAGTGAATGGTGTGATAGGAGGAATATTCTTTTAATTCAGTTTTGCAACTGAAATAAAAACTTCTAAAAGTCATTCTGTGCAAATATTAACTTTAATATTATCTCTTTTAGTAAAGAAGATGGAAACACTTCACATTTTGTTTCTTTTGTCTTTCGTTGGTTTTTATAAGCCTTGTTTGGAATTAGTCATATAATGTTTTGTAAAACATGTTCAAATATAATATGTTTGACAGTGAATTAAAAAATTTCATTGTAATGCAAATTTTGGCCTAATTTCAATGCAGGCAACTTGCTTTCTTTACTGGACCTGCAGGTACTTGTAGCTTGCTTTCTTTAATTACAACATCATTTGTATAGCCTTTTTGCTGTTCTGTTTAATAATTTTTTTGTAAAGTAGGATAGGTCTCCAATGATATGTATGTTCTACTTCTAAATATTCTTATTCTAACCATGAGTTTTTAATACGTTTTCGAAGATATTTGGTTGATTATTATATTTTTAAGAGGAAGAATCTTCTCATATAAGTATAAATCTAAAAACTCTTACACTTAATCTAAATTTTTCATTTAACTTACATTTAACGGATTATAATTTATTACTTGACTAGCCGTTAGATTTAAATTAAATAAAAAACTTAAATAGAGTATAAGAGTTTAGACTTACATTGGTATAAAAAGATCCTACCCTCTATTTTTAAACTTTTACTAATAATACTCATAACAAAAATGCCAATAGCCTTATTTTAACAGATTCATTGCCAATTTGACTTTGCAGTTGGAGGTCTTATATATGCTTCATTTGGAAATGCAACTGAGTTAATTATATCAATTCATGCGCTGAAAAAAGGCTTGTTTCGTCTAGTTCAACAATCATTACTAGGTTCAATTTTGTCGAACTTGTTGCTAGTGCTTGGATGTGCATTCTTAGCTGGTGGATTAATGTTTTACAAGAGAGAACAAGTGTTTAATCATGTATATTAGATACACTTCCCTTCCTTTGACTTGTGTATATTTCATGACTTGGTTATGACAATATAGCAAAAATTAATCTTAACTGATTATCAGGTAGATGCTACTGTGGATTTTGGTTTACTATTGATGGCAGTAATGGGGTTGTTATTTCCAGCATTCCTCAATGCTACACATACAGAATTAGAACATGGAAAATCTGAGTTAGCTCTTTCAAGATTTACTAGTTGCATTATGCTTGTGGCATATGCTTCCTATATAGTGTTTCAAGTGAAGATTCAAAAGAATTTACAAGTTTTAGTTGATGAGGTTAGACCTTAATGCTTGTTGTCTTCATTTTAATAAACACACACTCATACATATATACATATGCACTATTGTGTACAAGAATTTACAAATATAAATCCTGCACTATAGTGCAAAGTTTTGTACTATTCACTTAAACTTCAAATTTAGAATTTATAATATTTCTTTTAATTTATCATTGAAATTATTATACAATTTGTGATATGAAATTTGAGGATTATCATTTTATTTCTTTTAATTTATAACTGTAATTAATGATTTTTAGGATAGGGGTCTCAAAGATGATACTTTAGATGAGGAAGAAGCTCCTGAGATTTCTATGTGGGAATCAATGATATGGCTATCAATTTTAACTGGAGGTATATCAATCCTATCAGAGTATTTGGTTAACACTATAGAGGTAACTTCAATCCTTAGAAACATGATGTCTTGTTTTTTATAGTTACCTTATTTGTTTCCTTTCCCTGTTGAAAAATTGAAATATATTTGCATAAGAGGAAATGGAACGTTCATTTTCATTTGATTCCTTTTTTTTCTCTTCAATTTTTAGGAACATGTTTTCACTTTCGAATTAGTACCAGGTTAGGATCGTCAAAGTTGAAAAGGGTTATTAATTGTTTATGTCAATGATTTACCTATTATTTTATGATTCCTACTGTTCATTTACATTGGAAAGCTCAAGTTTCTTAAAAATAAAATAAAATAAAATTTATTTTGATTTAGTGTATGGTATAGGTATGCTGTTAGTTTTATGAGTCAGTTACTGCTTTAACTTGTAACATTGCTTTATTTTCAGGGGGCATCAAAAGAGTTTAAAATGCCCATGACATTTCTTAGTGTTATTATTCTTCCTATTATTGGGAATGCAGCAGAACATGTTGGCTCGATTATGTTTGCTGTCAAAGACAAACTAGTAAGCATTAATCGTAACAAGTGATGGTGTAATTTTAACATACATGAACTACTTCTATAAAGAAAGTTGTGTTTTTGGTCTTAAATACTGCATATGTTAATATAAAATGTGATAAATTCAATCTGTGTAAGAAAAATAAACAAAATAGCAATTGAATATGAAAAAGTTTGTCGTCATTTTACATCTGAGTTAGCTCTTTCATTCATACAGGACATATCTTTGGAAGTGGCTGTAGGATCTTCAACACAAATAGCAATGTTTGTGGTAAGTGTTTCTTTTTCTCTATGAAATTTTAAAGAAATATTCTATTTTCTCACAAATATATTATAGCGATTATTGTACAAAATACTAGGAAGTGTATTTATTAATAACAATAAAGAAAGATTCAAATCCTTCAAATATCATTCCATAGAGATTATGCAGTAATTACTAAGATTATTTTGTTTAGAGATAGCACAGAGAAATTAAATTATAGACTACACAAAAAAGAAAAAGAGAACGGAAAGAAAAAGGGTCTAGAGCCGCCAAACAATGTCAATGAGGTTCGATTATGAACTAACTATAGGCATTTGGCTCAACTGATGTTGTTGATTAAGATTCTTATCCAATTCCTTTTATGATTTACACTATCATCAATAGCCAGTCACTTACTATCAATACCATTTATCATGAAATATTAATAATATTTTTATAAAATTATATCATCAATGATTATGCAAGATATCAAATTAAAAAAGTATTATGATCTAATAAACTAGTTAATTTAATAACTAAATGACAATTTAGGATTAAGATTGATCTTACCAAACTCTAAATTCGGTTTGCTTTATAGACCCCTTAACTGATAATGGTTTGATCGCCTATTACATAACTTAGAAAATAACAAAGTTGATAGGATCTTGATTTTGAATTTGTTGCGATAGAAAGTGAAATTCATTAATTCACACATGAAAAATACTCTCATGTTAACAGTTAAATGTGGTATGCAGTTTTAAAGCTCCTAAGAAATGCTAAAAAATAGCACAAATGTGATTGATTGCATTGATGTCATTGATCAAGACAATATTGAAGTTGTTTTGATTATGAGAAGAGATTAGTTTAAGAGATATAATAGAACAACCAATAAATGACTGATTTTTGGCAACAGTTAGATCAACCATGACTAAATAATATTGATATTTTCTTAAACATTGATAATTCTAAGTTGTCAACAGTAGCATTGATTGTATATTTGGTCGACCAAGTTGAAAGCTTGTTAATATGGATATGATAAGAGACAGATATGTAAAATGATGCAAAGTAACAAAACTAGATGAATATATTTGCATAGGAACTTTGTATCACCCATATTTGAAAAGAGGAAAATTTGTATCAAATTTGGCCATTAAAAATTGATCTAAATTGATTGAATAGTGTTGTCTTTTCATAATAAATCAATAACCTAATTCATTATCCATGATTATTATTGCATTCACCACAGATTCCTTTTTGTGTGGTTGCTGGATGGATGATTGAATGTCCTATGGACTTGAATTTTCAACCTTTCGAGACAACTTCACTTTTCATGACAGTTATCCTAGTTGCCTTCATATTGCACGTAAGACAAATGCTATTCCTTCCTTTTCTACCTCTTAATTTGGTGAATATACTATAAATGAAAGTGTACTAGTTTACTATTATTGAATTACCTTCATCTACAACTTAATAGACCTTTACTTGAATTTTGTTTTAACATGTAGAATGGAACTGCAAACTACTTCAAAGGAATAATGCTCATTCTATGCTATTTGATAGTTTCTGCAAGCTTTTTTGTCTATATTGATCCTACATCTATTGGTAAGTAATGAATCCCCCGCTCTATCATAAAAGAGAACCAACGAGTGTAATTTTTCAAAGCATTTAAAAAGTTGAAATATTGAATTTATAAACATTTATGTTATATATATCTATATATATATATAGAGAGAGGACAAGATCTTCTCATATTAGTGTAAGTTTCAAAACTTTTATACTCAATCTGAGTTTTTCATTTAACTTACGTCTAACAGGTTATAATTTATTACTTTACTGGTCATAAAATGTAAGTTAAACAAAAGACTCACACTGAATGTAGAAATTTTTAGATTTACTAATGCAAGAAAACTCTACCCCTATATATATATATATATATATATATATATATAATTTTTTATTAAAACATCCCTATTAATATCATTAATAGTTCCATGTCCATTGCCTTACAAACCTTAGGTAAATTCTTAAGTCCAAAATTTTTATGACGTATATTAAAATTAATTTTGTTTGAAATTATCAAATAATCCCATTTAAATAAAACTACTCAGCAGCCTAATATAAAGTGTTAAAAGGTTACATAACTTCTTAGTTTCTCCTACTTATTCAAATTTAATACAAAATAAGAGAAAACAATAGGTATAGGTGATAAATCCTAAATATACATGTGTATAATTCACATAGTAGATAAACTAGCAGTAATAGTTATAAACCATTCCTTAGGCAACTCATCCCTTACTACTCTATAATCCATATGGAGAAAGGTTATTTTGCATCCATATCATTGTTAAGGGCACATAACAAAGAAGGGATGAGTATAAACATTCATAAATCATACATTATTGTCAATGAATAAACAGACATAATCAACCAATCAAAAAGTTAATCAAACATTGTAATGTTTTTATCCATTTTTTTTCATGGAGTAATTAATTATCTATTTCTTTAATTTTAGATTGAAGATTGAGAATTTTATACCTGCAATTCAGATAGTGTCATGGTATAACATCCTTTATTGGGACCAAACACTATTTTTAGTGCAAAAGTTTCATAATTATGATCATATCCAGCAGTTCACACTCACACCAATCATAGGATGTTCGAGCACTAGTTAAGATAGTCTAGCATTTGTCTCTTACCACGACACAAGGTAGCTAATCTTGATCTTTTGCTGGTGCTCGGGTATCTTACTATCCATATTGATAGATATGTTAACCAATCACTTTATGCCCCAAGCTTGCACATAGCATTTTCAACCACTATTTTGTGAACTTAATTCACAATCATAATCAATTTACAACCATTAAGTTGATTTAGTACAAGTCTTAACATGATCATACATCCTTAAAACAAGAGATCAAAGGGTCTTTGGACTCCTTCCCACTCCTTGTTCCAACCTTCACATGTGCTCAAAGGGTCCTACAAATTTGGAGTTCTACACTTTGTTTTTGGGTGGAGTATTTTGATAGTTGTTTAGGTGCTCCTCTTGGATTTTTCTTACTAAATTGGTGGGGTGTTTTTTTTAGTGTTTGTTATTGTCCAGTGTTTAGAAACTTTCAACTTTGCTGAATTTGGTAAAATTTGTCAAGTGTCCTAGTTTTACTCCTTGGTTTCACCTAAACTTGGCCTTTATTTTGCATGGAATTTTTTATTTTGTCTTGGATGATTTGGAACAACATAAATTATGACTATACTGAGGGGTGTTAGGCAAGCATCTTTTCTTTAGAAAGCATCACCCCAATCAACTTCCTTTCATGTGTAAAGTAGTCCACAAAAATCATGCACATGGTAGAAATTTTGACTCCTATGATGTCATTTGGTTAGGCAACTTGTCTTTATTAGTTCCTAGTTAGCCAAGCTTAATTTATTCCCTCTTATTATCACTAACCATTGGTTGAATTTGGGATGGTTTAGTTGCATTTTGGTTAGGTTAATTGGATAGGAATAATTCATTAACTCAAGTCTTCTCACTTTGAGTTTTGGTTGACCCAAAAAAAATTTCTATTGGTACTTTCTTGTCTAGCTTCTTGCATACTTCAATTAGATGCTTTTGCCTTCAATTTGAAGCTCAAGAAACCATGCTCACCCTTTCCAATTTGAAAAGATTGGAATCTTGAAATTTTTTACCAAAACTCCTAACTATTTCACGTCAAATAGGAGCTTATTTTTGAGAATTTTGTTTGAATTTTATACTTATCTTTTGGACTTTATTCTTAAACTTTCAACTTACTTTTTGAGTCATACTTTTATCATAAAAATTTCATATTTTTCTCTAGTCATTTTTGTGTCCAAAATGGACCAACATTTTAGATTTATGGTAAAGATATTTTGGTCATTTTGACTAATTTTACAATTTATTTTTTTATTTTTGCTTCCTTCCAACTAAATAAATATTTATACTTAATTAAGATAATTAAGAATCACTTAAAGTGATTTTGATAATTAATCTTTACTTAGAATTGAGTCATACTTACATTATCCAATTCTTCTTTTAAATTGATTCTTTTTTGAGTAAATTGTTTAAGTGTGTTTTAATTTACAATTTTTTTATATAATATATAATTCTAATTTAATTAGATTAATACAATTTTTTATTAATTAAAAATAATAAAATTTTAGAGAATTACATTCATTATTCTAAAATCACTTAATATGGAAATCAATTAATTGACAAAATAAATTATGTTTATATATATTATAATTTCATTCTCATAAAAAATGATTTGAAGGGTAAATATTTTTTATTTTATTTTTTTCTATTCATAAATAGTAATTAATAAAATAAGATATTATCAAAATAATAAATTTTCTTATGATGTTGAATATTGTATAAATGTATATTTTTATTCTCTCGCTCTTTTTTTTAGATCATACTATCCTCTACAAGAGGCAACCTATTCGAAAGACAAAGTAATATTAAAAAAATCTCTATTTGACATAATAAGATTTTTATTATTAAAAGTTATTATATCTTGCAGTATTTTCCAAAATATTTTCATAACTATTATAAAAATATTTAAAAATGAAAACAAAAGATTAAGTAACATATAATTAAAATAAATAGCATCTTAATAAAAATTAATAAATTAAAAATTTCAAAAAATAAAAAATGTCATGTGACATTGTAGTAGAAAAACTTTAGTATTAATTATAATTAAGCATGTCTATTTGTGTAAAATATTTGCATTAGTCCAACGTTACCTTCAAATTTTATTTATTTTAAAATTATAACTTGTTCCATTTATGATTTTTGCAGATGATAATCCTTCAAATGCTCATCCGTAAAGTAGAGGTTAGCATGGCATTAAGATATTTATTTATTTTTTTTTTAATACCAAGTACCAATAGTAGAAGACCATGTGAAACAACCATTGCTCAAGTGGTCATTAAGATATGTATTATGTTGAGGAAGGGATGATACCATTAATTAGTTAAGATTTTCTTAATATATGAAATTTTGGTTATATATTAAAAAAATGTGTATATATTATTATTTAAATATTAAATATTTCAATTTATAAATATTATAATATATATATATATATATATATATATATATTGCATTATAAGTTTATATTCTAGTAAATTGTTCTTTTATTGATTAAAATTATTAATTTTTAAAATTTTACTTATATTTAATAAAATATCATTGTATTATAATAAATTTTAAATCTAATTAAAATTTAAAAATATAAATATATAAGAGATAAAAATATCACTATTATTAAATGATAGTGAAACTAGATGTAAAAAAAGTATAATAAGAGATGTCACTATTAGTAATAAGAAAACAATCATTTTTAATTAGATAAAAATAAAGTATTTTTAAATTAAGAAATAAATTATAAAAATTAATTATAACATGCTGGTAAAATAATTTTATACTAAATCAACTATATATTATGCTTTGAACCTATATTGTTGTTTAGAGAGGATAGAACTAATTTATATAGTTGAAGTCTTGTAATTGGTTAAAAGTGCATGAAAGTGTAATTTAAAATTTTCATTTTTAAATTATAAAATTTTGAATTACGAGATTGCAAAATTTTTAAAAATTATTATTCCATACTAAAAAAATAGATTATCATAGGTAACTATTTAAATTTTAAATAAATAATAGTTAAAACTTGTTATTCTATTTGAAAAAATAATGACTTAAATTTTAAATAAAAGATTATCGTTTATCTTAGAATCACAACACCATTACTTATTACCAAACAAATTTTACGAATCTTCACATAAATGAAAAGGGATATAATATAGTAAGATTTCAGTCAGTTAGTTCGAATAATAAAATAATGACTTAAAAAATCGATAGCAATCTAATATTTAAAGTCCACTTAATTAAAAACATCTTGAAAGTTTAATTTAAAATTTAACTAAAATTTTAATTTTTAATTTAAATTCAAAGTTTTGACTTTACATACTTGTTCAAACTTTGATTTTGTCTTGAACTATAAATGCGAAAAATTCTCAACTTTATAATGTTTTTAAGTCATTAATAATAATTTAAATACTAAATTATAAAAATACAAATGGAAATCAAAATAAATTTTTTTATTTTGTCATAAATAATTATTGAATTTTTTTTCATTAATAGTTTGTCTTGTTTTGCACAATTGAGGATTTAACTCTACACAGTTATTTTTATTTATTTACATGTGGGTCTTCAATTTATTCTTTGTTTTTACGTAGATTTTTAATTTGTTTATGTTTCTTCTACGATTAGTTCATTATTTTATTTTTTAAAATAATTTTAAAATATTATTTAAAAAAAGAAAAAGAAACATACCCTTAATATTTTAGTGTTAATGCAAGGAAATGACGTAAGAGTGGTGTGATAATGAATGCATGAAGTGTAGGATAGGAGTCCTGTAGAACACATATCCAACTTTATTCTAACATGGTGTGAAATCACTATTTAAAGTCTTTTAGTATAGTATTAAAGGTGTTAATAGGTCAATTCTAACAAATTTATCTCTAACCCATGTAGATCAAATCAAAAAGTCCAAGAACTCTATAGAATCAAAAAGTCAATAAAATTAAGTAAATT